GGTCACAAATAAACTCAGTAAACTGGGCAAGTGTCAACTCGCTGCAAAGTCACTTATGCGCACTGTCCTTTTTTGATTATTGAGCTTTGTTTTCAAACATTTTCTAAAGTGCGCATGAAGTAAAAAAATTTTTATCGGATGTGATAATTTACCATTTTCTGAGTACAAAAATGTAATTTTTAGTGATTACAACCGTCTTTATGATTTTTCCCGGGCGCAAAAGTTCGAATTTGGCGCTCCAATAGTGTCGCCATTTTCCACTCGGCCATAACGATCACATTACAAGGATGTGACATCATTAGTTGTGCAAAAGACACAAGTTTCATGGCAAAGACAAGAAAAGACATCCTGGGAAAACATATTGTGCTGCTGGCGGCCCTGGTGCTGTAAATTGCACTAACAAGACTGGCATGCCGGGGATAACTATGCATTATTTCCCGAAGGACAAAACTTTACGGCAGAAGTGGACTTGGTTTGTCTGAATTCACAGACAAGATTTTGTCTGGACAAAATCTTCAGCACTATGTTCGGTGCATTTCGATGAAACATGTTTTCATTCTAAGAGCATTGCTGCTTTGGATGAGAGTGGAAAACCTGTACACCAAAACTGGCATTTGATTCCTAGATCTGTTCCTTCCAAAGATACAGTTGTGCTGCACACGTCTCCCTTGACCTCACAAAAGTGCCGAATGGTGAGTAGACAACAATAATTTCCTACAGTTGCAGTTGTTATGAAATCACATCAGTGTGAGTTATCCAGTTATTTCCTTAAAAGCCAATTATGACCTTTCCTGCACAATGTGTTTCATTTGTAAGGTTTTCTTGATATTTTTGGGTCTTTAGAACTTTAATAGTCAATGGGTCAGACAAACTATTGAACACTGGTGGCTCGATCTTCGATTCCTTTTGCTGGACACAGTTGTTGACACTTCCGGAAGGGCGGTGGGCAGTTGGGGTCTCTTTGCCGTTGTTGATGTAGTTCTTCAAATGACTTTTTTTTAATCTTACTTACTTTTCAAAGTGTTTCTATGTAACTGACCTTGCTTTTATTTGCTAATATCTTCTATTACATGTCAGTTTTCACCCTCTCTTATTTGGCAACAAATTAATTTGTTTAGTTATGAACAAGCTTTTATCAGTGTTAAAATCTCTCTGCAGGCAAATGAAACTGGTAGCAGCATTGCCATGGAGCTTGAAGGGGCAAAACATTGCTTTTCTTATCTTCAATCTGCTGGCATATCCATAAAAGTTTTCATTTCTGACAGACACACAGTGTCACGAACACTACATAAACTGTCATAAATAGTCCTTTATTTTGATCATTAGGAGATGAGTCTTTGCCAATTTTGTTTAGGCCATCGCAGTCAGCTTTTAATTACCTAGTTTCCTTTCAATTATCAGTCAATTCTCTTTGCTTGGATAGAACACCTGTTAGCCATATGCTTCCTGTTTGGCCACATTCCACCACTGAATGCCCTTCGTTTCTCACATGATAAGGAATGCCACTATTGATTTTAGCTAGTCGGAGTTATGTTATCATAGGAGAAAGAAGTCATTGGAGTTTGTTAGTAGTCAGTCCTTACATGTAACTATTGGAGTACCATTGGAGCATTGGAGTTACCTTTTCCTTTTCAGCCTTTAACGCAGTACCAGACATAAGTTCTACTCATTTATATTCACCTTTTCTTTTTTCCTTTTACCACGCCTTTGTAGATCTTGAAAGTTTTAGCTCTCTTTTAATTATGCATTGTAATCTACTCTGTAGTTTTCACTGCATGTGTATAATATTTGGGCAAGTCGACCTTAATAAACGCTGATCAAGTAAAGCCTGTCTAATTGTTCTACATCGCACGGTTGATGCTCAACAATCTCAACGCGCACCACGTGCCAGCTACTTGAGTTTGTTATAGTGAAAAGTCCGAGGATATCCACAAACGCAGGTAAGCTGTATCTTAACGCATAAACATGGAGCCATTGAAAACTATCAGTCAAGTAAGAGGACAGCTGAGCACTGCAGGAACCACGGAGAGGGGAGCTAGGAGTAAAAGAACAATAAAACTAACACGTAAAGCCCTGCAGATCGCAATAGACAACAAACATAAAGAATTTCTCAAATCGTGAAGGCGGCTCCTTAGTGTAATGCAATTAGTAGATGGCTTAAGAGATGACAGCAAAATCGTGCCCTTAGCGCGAGACCTCACAGCCGCTTCAGGGGAGTTCGTAGAGCTGCTACAGAACTTGTTTGCACTGTATGCGCAAGATTCATATGGCGATTTCGTGGAGGAAGCTCGACTAGAAGAAGAATATGACACCTTAAAACGAGCTCTCTCAGTTATAGAGAAACTAAAGAATAAAATGAGTAGACAATCCAACAAGTTGTTGGAGATGCGATCTGTCTATTCTCGTCATTCATCGGTCTCTAAAACAAGCAGCGCCATTGCCAGGTTGCAAGCGCTAGTTGATGCAAAAGCGTCCAAAGAGGAAGCTCAATACATGTGCCTAATAGCGGAAAAGGAACTTGAGCACAAAACACACGATGCAGAAACGGAAAGACTTCAGCAACGAGAGAGAGCGCAGTTTGAAAAGGAGATGGCAATCTTAGGAGCAGATAAAAGGGCAGCCATAGCGAATGCTAAACTCAAGGTCTTTGAAGAGGCACTTTCAGAAGAGGATTTTGAATTGCCAGAGTTTAAAGATCCCCAAATTAAGACGGAGGAGTGCACCTCACAATGGGTCCATTCTTCTCCCTTGCTCGACCTCTTGCCCACAGGAAATCTGTCGTGCCCAGAAGGTAAGGTAAAGTCTGTATGCGAGCCAAGTGGCCCATCAGGGCGGAGCTTATCCCGGTTTCTGTAGCATGAAGCGACTAGGAGTATTTCTACTC